AGCTGACCTTCCAGTGGATTTTCAGAGGCTATAAAACACACAGGACGAGATTGTTCATCTTTCTACCCATGGAGCAGTCACATGTGGTAAACTCAGGTTTAGCTGTTCATGCAGTAACTAGAGTTCAGAGGAGGAAAACTAGTGAACAGATCTTGAAAGGAAAATTAGGTTATAGAGAACAGACACAATTACCAATTAACTTGTTGCCTCCCAGAGGATCCTGTGACCCCACATGTGGCAGACCAGACCTGTGAACCACAGGATTTTCAGTGACTGATTTTTCAGAAGCAGGTCACAAGGCCTTTCCCTAGAGGCATCTCTGGGTAGACCCAAACCTTCAACCTTTTAGCTAACAACTCCACACATTAAATGTGCATCATCCAGGGACTCCAAAGAACAGAGAATACAGAGAACATTCCTAGCAGGGTTAGTAGCTGGGCAAAGGTTTAAGAATCAGAAATAATTATTTGAGGCTGTACTTCAGACAACACTTTGTCTGAACTTCAGCAAATTGTGACTTGGTAGATTAAATGTTCGAAGCTCTTGGATATATGCTTTTTAAATATCTCTGTCTCACATCACTGTGAGTTAGCTTGCACTTGGTGACCGCTTCTAACCAAAAGGTGGAAGGTTTAAACCCACAGGTTGCTCTGGGACAGAAGGATGTGACAGTCTGCTTCCATAAATATGTACAGCCTTGAGAACCCTATGGGACAGCTCTATCTGTCCTATAGGGTCTCTATTAGTGGGAATGGACTGGATGGTAGTGTGTTTGGTTTTGGTTTCCACAGACAAGTGAGCCAGTGTCATTTCCAGACTTGATTCCACTGAACTTTCCTATGAACAGTGGGTCTCAGGATGAGATAACCATAGTTATATTTTAGGGGTAAGTTTTCATTGTAAGTCTTTTTTTTTTTTTTTAAGAATAAAAAGCTAAAACTTTTATATCCTTCCTATGGATACAAGAATGTTTATAGAGTTTTCAAAGGCCAGTTATTTTAGAAGTGGATAGCCAGTCCTCCTTCATAAGTCTGTCTTCCCCCACCCCTCTTTTCCCCCTTAGTCTGTCTTAATCTGGAAGTTCCATTGACATTTGTCCAACATTCTCTGGCATCACAGAAGCCAGCAAGCTACTTCAGTACAGTAAACGGACAGACAAGTACTGTTTTCATAAGCACAAACTATGCACAAGCAAGAACAAACAAATAAAAACCAATTGACATGTTTCAACTAACAGTTGTAGCCCTGAATGTGCTAACCAGGGTGTGCCACAAGATTTAGAAGACAGCTAACTGGCCAACTGACTGGAAGAGATCCATATTTATTCCCATTCCCAAGAAGGGTGACCCAACAGAATGTGGAAATTATTGAACAACATCATTCCTATCACATATAAGCAAATCCTGCTGAAGATTATTTAAAAACAGCCAGAACAGTACATCAACGGTGAAGTGTCAAAAGTTAAAGTTGGATTTAGAAGAGGCCATGGCACCAAGGATAGCATTGCTGGTGTCAGATGGATCTTGGCTGAAAGAAGAGACTACCAGAAGGATGTCTGTGTTTTATTGACTGTGCAAAGGCATTTGACTGTGTGGATCATAACAAACTATGGCTATCACTAAGAACAGTAAGAATTCCTGAACACTTAATTATGCTTAAATGAAACCTATGCCTAGATCGAGAAACTATGGTCTGACAAAGCAAAGGAACACTTCCCAGTTTAAAGCAAGAAAGGTGTGCACCAGGGCTGTATCCTTTCTCTATACCTATTCAAGCTTTATGTTGAGCAAATAATTTGAAAAGCTGTACTCTGTGAAAAAGAATGTGGCACCAGGATCAGAGGAAGACTCATCAACAGCTCGCATTTTGCTGATGACACAACCTTGCTTACTAAAAGTAAGGAGGACTTGAAGTACTTGCTTCAGAGGATCGAGGACTGCAGCCTTAAATATAGGTTGCATCTCAACATCAAGAAAACAAAAGTCCTCACCACTGGGCCAATAGGCAACATCATGATGGATGAAGAAAAGATTGAAATTCTCAATTATTTAATTTTGCTTGGATGCACATTCAACACTTTTGATATCAGCAGCAAGGAGATCTGGAGACATATGGTACTGGGAAAGTACGCTGTCAGGGACCACTCCAGAGCCTTGAAGAGCAATTACATCAGTTTAGAGTAAGATGCATATGGTGTTACAGGTTTATCATTCAAAATTTCTTTTCTAGCCAATGGTTAACTTTATTTTTGTTCTAAATTATTTATGTTATTAAGGAGAAAGGATTAGGATGGGATACAAGTCTCATCCTACTGGAAGCTCATGAGACCTCAATGTTAGCTTCTCTTTTTGGCACGCCAACTTTCCAGCTATACTACAACTGATAGTCTACAGTGCTACCCAGTCTCTGGGACTGTTGATGTTGGAAATCAAACATTTGGAACACTGTTGACTCCACACTTGTAACTGTTCAACTACTAATGTTAGCAAAATGAATTATGAATACAGTGCACCTTATTTAAGCTATAGTTTTCCTGATCACCTGCTATACATTTAAGTGATGAACAATGAATAAGGATGACAGAAGAAGAATTGAAACTTTTGAGGTGTGTTGTTGGAGAAGAGTG